CGCCTCTGTCAAACGTCCAATTTCTCGGATTTTGCGGTACCGCCACCCGACCCGGGGTAGAGGGTAAGGATGGAACGCTTCGAAAATAGGATCCGTGCTCTGCGGAGCAAGACAAATGACCAAACAAAAGAAAAAAAATAGAGAAGCTATACGGAACTTTTGTGTACCTAGAGATCGGGGCAGGAAAGCCTTGTGCCGCACACGCCAGCGCCAGAGACTCGCCCTCTACCCCGCGGTACTTATTAAGGCCGTCTCCAGTCCCTTTTGGGGCAGTACGACCGGACGGTTCTGGAAGGATATCATTTATTGCCCGGAATGACTAAATCGTCCCTTTTCGTTTGCTTTGTTTTCTATTCTTGAATTTATCGGCAATGGCATTCGCTTTTGTTCATCGATCGAACCGTTGCAACGATTTCTTTTCACGAGGAAAACGTTCCTAATGAACATTCACAGTCTCAACAAAAATTGCGCTACATTTCTCGGCAAACAGAACTCTTAAAGAGTACACAAAAATTATATTAAAATGGGGAACCCGTTCCTCGCGAAGCTTAAACAGGGTTACATACCTCTTTTTCCTCCCCAATAGCCAGTATCCCGAGTACACGCATAGTTAACGCATGCAGCTTACTTACCTGATACACAAATCGTTGTTCCATGGTAGAAGGATCGAAAAATAAAGATATCAACTGATTCGACTCATCGACGACGACGACAACAAGGGAACCAAGGAGCGAAAGGGAAAAGGGTACTTTGCGTCTACCTTGTCACGGGCATGGGGAATCCCTGGTACGAGTGACTCAACGCGATATCCTGACCTCTAGCAGCCAAAACCACTTCTCTTTCGAATTTCTTGCCCGAAGACCGCGGACCGATCTTGTTCGTGCCCTCTGAAACGCGATTCGTAGTGCCTCGTGAGGGAACACGTCATTAAATAACAGTGTACCTTGTCACTGGGACAGGAAATCCCTGAGTGGAGCAGTCCAATGCTACCACCTTTGTCCTCGGAACGTCGACTAGTTTTCCACCTTCGTAACGTTCACCAGCGATACGCGGGGGAACATTACCTGTCGGTTCTGAAAAGAGGCGGGAAACGAGAACCGACGCGTGGCTCGGTATTTAGGAGGCAATGATCTAGAAAATGACCGAATACCCGAGCAGATTCGCCACCGCCTGACGGATTCCCCCTTTTTCACTGCCCTACGGCCCCGTACCTGAACGTAGGCGCCGGGTAACCTTGAACAGGACACGGCAGGCCCACCATATGATCAACTAGAATGACTCTCTTCAGTCCACTGATGTCCTTGTCCCGTACATTCGGACGCACACTACCCCGTGGCTCTGTAATACCGTAAAAACGGAGGATAGGACTTGTCGTCGTTGTCGAATGTATCGCTGATATCTCAAAGGAACCAAGAGACGTGAAGATAAAGACCGGTCCGCGAAGGCTACCAATGAAATAAAATACAGCTTGCCCCGATTCTCTCCTGACAAGGAATACAAAGTAGAGAATGGGACATCTGGCATGTATAAAATATGCGAAAAACTATTGCAGGTACACGAAAATATTGAATACAAAAAGCTTTTCACAAGAAATAATATAATGCAAAGAGTTTTAACGATTTATAAATGGCATTTCTGCGTTGTTTTAGAGTTATTCAAAGTGACTCTACGACTTTATAATATTGTTTTAAATATTCAATTGTACTTTGTAATTGTAATCTTTTTCTAATCACGTATTAAAATTCTTCAATGCGGAACTCTATAACTCTATAACACAGTCTAATAATTGTAGTTAATGTTTGGTTTTTCATTTTGGTACAACTCGCAAAATTAAGAAATATATATTTATTACTTCAACAGGTACTCTACAATGAACAATTTTCCGTAGAAATTATTAATTAGTTTTACAAATATTATTTAACAGAAAAAGAAAATATTATAATATTACTTATAATCTTCACTCGTTATAAAAACACAAACAACTATTGTATCCAATATTTTCAACTACCTCCATCAGTCTTTAAAATATTTTATATACTAGCTCTTT